CCTGGCGGCCCGGCCGGGGTCGGCGGGACCGTCTGCGGTGCAGAGAGGGCGCCGAGGGCAAGCCGGGCCGTCCGTCCCCTGCCCGCCACCACGCCTGGCCAGGGGGTGCTTGTCCCCTGGCTGCGGTGGGCTGGGGGCTTGTTAACACGGATTGCGGGGACCCCCCCCTCCACACACACACACACACACCTCGCAGAGTGTGTCATTGGTTCTGCTGCAGGACCCCAAAATGTGCAAAATTTTTATCTCAGAGTCTCCGAGATGCAGGTATGGCCAATGGAGGGGGCCACACTCTGAGGACCTTCGCAAGGGTGTATTCTCGGGGACATCAGATAAAACAACTGTGCGCCTGCACCTTGTTTGTGTGCCCTTTTCGTCGGCTTCCTCGCTCTCCTGCTACAGAAACCCTGAAATCGGGATTTGTCCTTAAAATCACCTTCCCCGTCCCAACTTCTCTTTCTTATCATACATACTCGGTTAAAAAAAAAACAAAACAAAAACCAATGTATATTTCTTAATCGCCTTCCTAACGCTCTGACCGCTGCCTCCACCTACCAACTTGATGGGAAAATGACTTCTCAGAGTTGTTTCCTGAAGTTCCAGGAAAAGCCAGTCATTCTTATTCTTCGCCCTCCTTGCCTGTCATATTTAGTGTGTTCCAGGTCTCCTTAGAACCTTGCCCTGGGTATTCGGGTCACTCAATAGTCTGCGTTTCTGCCCATCACCGTTCCTGTTCTCACAGCTTTAATCTTCCTTACTCATCCATACAAGGCGCCTCTGTTCTTGAGGGCTTAACACTTACAGCATTGAGAGGAGTTTCAGAGTCACCTCTAAGTCATCAAACTGCTGTTTGTTGGATCTGGGCAGTACTCTTCCCAAACTGAAGAAACAGCGGTGGGCAGATATTCTAGTAGGAAGAACCTGACTCCTTGGAGGTACTTACTGCCGGTGGCCAGTGGGACTGAACTTTGTGGGGACCTGGAAAGGCTGTGGGGCGTAGGTGGGAGTCAGGGCCCACAGCCTCTCCGCCTTCATTCTCTACCAGTCCTATGGCGTTTCTCTTGGAAACCTCATTTCATACTCTGTGCCATAGACTACCATTTCCCCATATTATTTTTGTTTCTGATTTGTTAAGGGTGCGATATTTCACTATTAAAAAAGCAGTGTTTGTGGTGTGGGTGTGTGATCAGACATTCTCCGAAGCACTTTTTTCACTACATCGAATCCTTGAAACTGCCCTGTGACCTTGACACTATTCCTCTTATCTTGTTGGGAAGAGAAGGCGCGAAAGTCAGTTAACTTGCCCAAGGTCGCCTAGAGCTGTTAGTGGAAGAGCTAGCTCGGTTGGAACCTGTCAGTCTGGCTCTACCAGTATAATGAATGAACTAACTGCCTGGTCAGCTAGAGACAGAGAGAAAAGCTAGGCAGGCCCATGTCCTCATAAAACTTTCATCTGCGTTTGCCGTATTTCCCAATTCTCTCTCTTTTCCGTTAACATCATGATCACATCCTGTCTTGGGATTTTTAAGACAGGGTCTAGCCAAGGCTGGCCTTGAACTGGCAATCCTCCTGCATCAACTTTCCAGGTGCTTGGATTATAGGCACCAGTCACCAAGCCCAATTGATTTGTTTCTCTTCCCCTCTAATTAAATGAGGCTTCCTCATTGCGCTATCTCCTTCTTTACATTCCCAGGGTGATTTTCCTAAGTGTAGCCCAAGTTCTTTCTCATCAGTGTTTGAATTTCGTCATGTAAGACCACAGGAATGACATTTTCCACCTTTACTTCCTGTACCACTGATGGCTTTTTGACATCCGGTAAGGAGTCAATACCACCATCCCAGGCAGTGAACAATCTGATGAAAACTCATACTAAAGTTAAAAAGTTATGTTCATTAAAAATTAAAACATGGGCCGGGCGGTGGTGGCGCACGCCTTTAATCCCAGCACTCGGGAGGCAGAGGCAGGCAGATCTCTGTGAGTTCGAGGCCAGCCTGGGCTAC